AGAAAGAATGAAGGAGTATTTGAGGGATTATCTGAACTTGGTTTGAGGGATAGGATCAGAATAAGAAAAAGAAAGAAGGAAAAAAATTGAGAAAAAAGAGAAGAAAAAAGGAAAGGGAAAAGTAAGTAGGATAAAAAGATAAAGTAAGATAAAATAGAATAAAATTATATTTCAAAAGGGGGCAGTCCCACTCACTTGTTTCTATTCCGTGTGTCTTCATCCCTAAGCACCACACTAATTCACCTAACTGACCAACTGTTAGCTCGAATTTTGGACTTTTCCCTCCTGCTATCACCTGTCCATCATATGTGTCCTTATCTGAGTCCTACCGTGTGGCTGTCATCCCCCAGTGGCCTGGTCTTGAGGTGTAGGGGGATGGCCCAGGCAGCTGGGTTCCTCTGGCCAAGCTGGTTGCCTAAGATCTTAAATTAGTAATGTAAACTACAACCTTAAGACTCTGGAAAGAGAAGAGCAAACTAAAGCCAATGTGTGCTGAAAGAAAGAAACAATAAAGAAAGAAATATTAAAGAGGCAACCTTTTTACCAGTGAACATGTTTGGCCCATTTGTCAAAGATAAGGTGGCTGAATGTGTGTGTAGTTGTGTCTGCATGGGCATGGTAGTGCACATCTATAGCTGTAGCTTCTTGGAGAGCTGAAGCAGGATGATTTGAACCCACCTTTTTGAGACCAACCAAGGAAACAAAGTAATATGCATCTCTCCAATGACCAATGATGTTGAACATTTTTCATATATTTATTTGGCATTTGTATTTCTATAACTGATAAGTGTCTATTCATCTCAGATGCCCATTTTTGGATTGGGTCTTCAAATTTGGGGGACATATGATTTTTTCAGTTCTTTATATGTTCTAGATAGAAGTCCTTTGTCTTAGGGACAATTTGCTAAATTTTTTCCACTTTGTGGGCTGTCTTTTCACTTTGTTTGTGATTTCTTTTGTTGTACAAATGCTTTTAAATAAGATGAGGTCCTAGTTGGTGATTCTCTGAAGTATTCCCTGTGCAGTCTGAGTTCTGTTTATGAACTCTCTGCCTACCCTTATGTCTTCAAGATTTCTACCTACTTTCTTTTCCAGTAGATTTAGTGTTTCTGTTTCAATATTTAGACCTTTGATCCATTTTGACTTCAGTTTACTGCATGGTGATAGACATGGGTCTATCTTTAGTCTTTGTCATGTAGAGAGCAAGTTTTTCCAGCACCACTTATTAAAGAGGCTATCTTTCTTCCAGTGAGCATGTTTGGCATGTTTGTCAAAGATAAGGTGGCTGAGTGTGTTTGTAGTTGTGTCTGCATCTTTGAATCTGTTCCACTAGTTCTCAGGTCTATTTTTTCTCCTACCATGCTGATTTTTATCATAATAGCTTTGTAGTATAGTTTCAATTCTGAGATAGTGATGCCTCCTGCCTTGCCACTGTTGTCCAGAATTGCCTTTGCTATTCTAGGCCTCTTCTGGTTCCAGATGAATTTTAGGACTGCTTTCTGTAGTTCTGTGGGGTATACTAATGATATTTCAATAGGGATTACATTAAATCTGTATAGCAATTTTGGGAGTAGTACAATTTTCTCTATCTTGTTTTTTCCTATCAATGAGCAAGGGATATCTTTCCATTTTCTGATATCCTCTTTGATCTCCTTTTTTCAGAGTACTGTAATTTTCAATATATAGATCCTTTACTTCCTTCGTTATACTGATTCCCACATATTTCATTTTTTTGGATGCTATTGTGAAAGGTGTGGTTTCCATATGTTCTCTCTCAGTTTGTTGCTTGTGTCCAGGAATGCTGCTGATCTGTGAGTGCTGACTTTATATCCAACTATGTTACTGAATTTGGTTATTAAATCTACAAGTCTTTTGGTGGATTTTTTGAGGTCTTCTATGTAGAGTATCATGTCATCTGTGAATAATGATAATTTAACTTCTTCCTTTCCTATCCTTACTCCTTTTATTTCTCCCTCTTGTCTGAGATTCCATCTCACCCCAGAAAGAATGGTTATCATCAAGAAATCAACCAATAACAAATGGTGGTGAGGCTGTTGGGAAAAAGGAACCCTTCTCCACTTTTGGTAGGAGTGTAGACTGGTATAACCATTGTGGAAATCAATGTGGCGATTCCTCAAAAAACTAGGACTATAGGTTCCATTCTACCCAGGTATTCCCTTTCTGGATATCTTCCCAGAAGAATTAAAAACATCATACCACAGAGATATACATGCTGTCATGTTTATAGCAGCACAATTCGTAACAGCTAAATCTTGGAAATAGCCCAAATTTCCATCAACTGACAAATGATAAAAAAGACATTGTCATTTATACAATGGAGTACTACTCAGTCATAAAGAAGGATCAATTTGAAGGGGCTGGAGATTTAGATCAGTGGCACAGTGACTACCTGGCAAGTGTGAGGTTGTAAGTTCGATTCTAGGTACTGGAAAAAAAAACAACAAAAAGAAAGAAGGATAAACTTGAAATTTTATTAGGAAATGGATGCAACTAGAGACTATACTGATAAGTAAAATAAATCAGGCTCACATGTATAAACATTGTATTGTCTCCCTGGTATGAGAAACTGAACAAGTAAATAAGTTCAGTAGATATGTTGAAATGGGAATAAATTATTCAAAAGAAAAAGGAACTAGGATGGGTGATAGGGGTAAGGACAGTAGGGAAAAAGGAAAAAATGGAAGTCAGTTATACTGTTAGTATCTCTTAGTTCATGAAAAAGGAAAGTTTGTGCTAATATTGATTGGAGAAATTTTTATCCCATATTTTGTACCCTGAGTAATTACTTTAAAGATAACAGCATGTAATGCATTAACTGTTGCTATTTTCCTATTATTTTGTTATGAAATTTTTTTTTTACCTCTTTTCCATTAAAAAGAAAAACAAAGTAAAACTCCATTTTGAAAAAAAATCTGAAACCAATGAAATGGAAACATAAAATCAACTGTGAAAATTGATGTTGATTTTTTGAAAAGATCAACAAAACTGACAAACACTGTTAGGACTGACTAAGGAACATGCAGCTCAAAATGAGGATAGTATCACAACTGACTCACTACAGAAATTGAAAGGATTGTAATGGAATACAACAGATAAGTTCATGCTAGTATTCAGAAAATTGAGTTAAAATGGACAAATTTCTTGAAAGTAAGAGTTACTGAAACTCTAGTAGGTGAAGGCTGGACTTCACACTCTGGTTTAACCACTTACCAGTCCTACTACTTAAATACAGGATGACCAAAACTTGCATATTTTTTCATTAATTTTTATAAGACAATATAACAGGAAATATGAGAGTGACAATTTTATCAAATTTATTCAATAATTTTTCTGGGTATGGCATATTTTAAAATATTCAATACACCATGCAAAATTATAATCTGCACAGTAGTATCTATCCTCTTTCTGAATTCTTTGGGTGTTATCGTCTTTCTTTGAACAACACACTTTACCCTGTCGTGTTGGCCTTTTCTTTTTTTCTGGGAAAGTGTAATTTCAATATAATGTCTACCCACTAAATGTAATGGTGAAGATGTTGATGATGGATGTCCTGGTTGGCATTTTTCTATCCCATATTTTGTAAATACTTGGTCTATAAGACCTAGTCTACATTGTAAATGACTTTTTTTGGTACTGGAACTCAAACTCAGGACTTGTGCTTGTCAGGCAGGCACTGTGCTGCTGAGCTATATCCCTGGCCCATAAATAACTTTTTGAACCCTCTTGTTGTGAATAAATAACAAATGTCTTCCATATTGTTTGGTCCAGAAGGTATGTAAATATTTTATAATAATGTTCTCTCCTCACTTTTTTGATTACACGATAGCTTGTTAGATGTTGGCCAACTCTACCAATACTCTCCACAGAATTATTGTAATCATTGACCCCCATTGGAATTTTTTGTTTCTTCTTTCCAGTTCTACCATTTCTGCATCATGAATAGTTGACAATAAGAAGACATCTTCTTTGTCTTTCCATTTCACAACACAGACTTTTCCTCTCTGATAGGCTGACGCTACTTTTTTCCCCCAGTTTTTCTTCTGCAGATCTTTTGTAGATTTTTTAGACTTCCTTTCTATCCAGTTTCAGTGTCCCAAATGTGTGTTTGTATTGTAAAAGATTATCACTGAGTTCTAGAGAAGTATAAAAATTATATGTAGTGTATTTATGATAAGAGTTTTTGTAGATTGTAGCACAAAATTATAGGTTATTTTTCATGAATAAAATAAACACAAATTAATAAAAGAAAATAATCAGAACTTACTAGATTTTACTAGAAACAAACACTAAAGGCTAATACAACATTCTAAATTAAAAGTATGCAAAAATAGTCGATATAAAATAAATAGACATGTGAATGTATCTGCTGCATACAAGAATCGACTGGTTTCAATGGCACGTGCCTGACCATCACTTGGATAGTCAGTACACAAACAAATGCACGGCCCAAGTGATGCTTGGGGTAGACTATTAAGTGGTTAAGGTCTTTCTAGGCTTGGCCACTTGCCTTTCCACCTTCTTCCCAACTGCTTTATAACATGAAGCATACTCTTCTGTTCTAGCCACGAAAAAATACTTGGCTATTCTAACACTGTGAATTGTCATGCGCTTATGGTTTTGTGTGCATTGTTTTCCTTGTGTGGCATGCCTTTTTACTGGAGAATGTCTATACGTCTCTGACAGGCCTGTCTCTGCAATCCTTCCTGGCAAACGCTGCTTTATAATGCCAGTGAACATATTTTTAATATTAGGGCACGGCCATATAGTATTACGATGACCTGTTAGCATTTACGGCTCTTTATGAGACTTCAGCCCCCTTGAACTCAAAGAACATGCACTCAATAAAGTCTACCACATGAACTGATGAATTCTTGAGGATTAAACCCTATCTGTTACTTTTTAATGCTCCACATAACTCCAAATTTTGTCTCAGAAATTCACATAAATGAATTCAAAGTTTCACAAAAGGAGCAACTCACTATCCACGGGCAGGCTGTCTGTCAGGTCTTGGAATTCCTCTTCTCCAAGGTGAAAGCCCATGTAGTCCATGAAGGGTTCTAGCTTGCGAACATTAAGCTTCAAACCTTAGGAAAAAGAAGATGGGAAGGAGAGAACCGAAGGAGAGAACGAAAAAAGTTGGTCATGTCTATGCATTCATTAAGGGTGAGCAAGCAAAGGAGCAATAAAACTGTTGAAGTACAGAGCCAGCATAGGAGTCTGGAACAGAATCTCTGCTCCTCAGTTTTGTTCAAAGGATATAATTACAGCTCTCATGAGACGTGAGGAAGGAACTGAAGGCTTAAGAAAATCCACAAAATTCTGGCAAGAAACTGCTTTTGTAATTCTATTCAGAAAATAGACAATAATGCAGCAATTGAATAAAAAATTGTTTCTTCAAAGGTACTTATGTTCCAAAAAGTAAGCGATAAGACAAAACCACTTAATAAGTAAGTAAGCAGACATATGTGTCATCCGTGAAAATATGTGTTTTTTTTTTAATTTTTTCTTTTTAATTTTAAAAATAAAAGGAGGAAAATATTAACAGACAGTCGACATTTTACAAAATAGCAAAGGAACAGTACAGACAGCACAGAGTTACAAACAGAGTGGTAGGGAATTAACAATGCTTGTTGTATTACATATTGATATCTTCAAAGTGGTTTCTCATGAAAACAGATAGACATACAAAGCTGATCAACCAAGGACTCATTGACAGTTTCTAAAAATATGTGGTTTTAAAGAAGAAAATACAAGGAGGACTTGTTGGTTTTACCTGTTTTCACTTACCTGGGAGAGACTTTATGCCATCCAGCAATTTATGCTTATACAACTTTCCAGTAGCTGTAAGAATAGGGACAGTATAACGATTTATAAGGAGACTTGCTGAAATAATTAAAAACCCAGGAATTTAAAAAAGAACAACTCTTATGATTTTACTTATAATTTTTTTCTATTCTCATCCCAAGTAACGATTGGATCCACAGGAGAAAGGTCTTAAAATAGCAGGTCTACCTATTTTTTTGCCTATTAAAATAAATTATTACTGGTATCCACCAGGTATCTCTCATGTCTTTCTTTTCTTTTGGTTTCTCTCTCTTTAGCTTTCTGATTATGATTCTACATATTGGTTTTCTCAAAGATAGCATTAGATAAAGCAGGATTCACGAAGGAAGACGCTGCTCATTTTTAAGCTAAAATATCTGATGACCATGACAGGATTTCTTTGAATGTCAATATTGAGCTTTTTTATAAAAGTTTTCCACATGACATAAAGTGGGCATTGTTTCAGACATTTTCACTGATAATCCCAAGAAAATAAATTCTTCTCCAAGTAATATTTTAGTGATATATCATATATTGCTATGACAAGTTTTTTACTTTACAGAAATTTAAATATTAATTTTTTTATTTTTTAAAAGAGAATAAAAATAATAAAAAAACATTAGAAATGATACAGAATTTCACTAAATAAGATGATAGAAATTAAAAAATGGTTGTTATATTCCATATTGTTGTCTTCAAATTAGTTGTTCAGATTACCAGACATAAGCATGCAAAATTAGTTAAAATTAAAAAAAAGTTAAAAAGAAAAAAATTTAAGCATTAAATGGTCTTTTCAATACACCAGTAGAAATCAGCAGTACAATTATCCCAGCTATCCTGTGTGTATACATATATTTTTTTCCCTTTCTTCTTTTTTTCTTTTCTCTTTTTCCTCATCCCAGTTGTTCCTTCCCTTTGAGCAGTTTCTTTCCTTTTCACAGTATCTATTGTATCTTTCAAATTTTATTTACTCTTTCAGGTTCTAACACTTGAGAGACAATACAGTGTTTACACATGCAGGTCTGATTTATTTCACTTATGAGTATGGTCTATAGTTGCATACATTCACATAAAAAGCCTTGAGTTTACCATTTTTTATAGCTGAGTAATAATTGTATGAAAATACCACATTTTTAAAATTTTAAAGACAAAAGAATGAAAACAAATTAACAGAGACAAATTAATACAGACATTTACAAAAATAACACAAAAACAATACAAGCAATACATATTTTTAGACAAGATGATAGGAAATTAACAATGGTGGTTGTATTACATATTGATATCTTCAAACTGGTTACTCAGATAAACAAATATAGGCATGTAAGATCGATCAAGTAATTAAACATTAACTGTTCCACTAAATAAAGTAGTAGAAATCAGTAATACAACTATCTTAGCTATCCTGTGTATACCTATATACATATTTTTCCTTCTTTCTTTTCTCTTTTTCCTCATCCCAGTTGTTCTTTCCTTTGAGCAATTTCTTTCTCTGTCATAATATCTATTTTACCTTTTAGATTTTATTCACTCTTTCAGGTTCTGCACTAGTGAGATAATACAGTGTTTACCCATGTGGGTCTGATTTATTTCACTTATGAGTATGGTCTCTAGTTGTGACCATTTACCTATAAAAGCCCCGAGTTTATCTTTTTTATAGCTGAGTAATATTCCATTATATAAAAACACCACCACTTTTTTATCCATTCCTCAGTTGATGG